GCTGGGTTTTTCCATTTTTTTCATGAGTCGGGGTCTCACTTTCGCTCAGGAGAGTCTCGAACTCCTGAGCTCCAGCGATTCTCCCTCCTCAGCCTCCCACAGTGCTGGGATTACAGGCGTGAGCCACCGCGCCTGGCAATTACAAACTATTTTTAAGCCTATAATCCCAGCACTTTAGAGGCCAAGGTGGGTGAGGTTTGAGAATAGCCTGAGCTAGTGTGAGACCCCCCCCATCTCTAAAAATAGCTAGTTGTTGTGACAGGTGCCTGTAGTTCCAGCTACTGAGGAGGCTGAGGCAAAGGGGTCACTTGAGCCCTAAAGTTTGAGGTTACTGTGAGTGATGACGCCACAGCACTCTACCAGGGACGACAAAGTGAGACTGTCTCAAAAACAAACAAACAAGAGAGAAAGAGTATTTTCAAAATACATTGCAAATTTAGAAATGGACAAATAGCTCTGCACCTGTAACACAGTGGTAACGGCACTGGCCACATGCACTGAAGCTGGCAAGTTCGAACCCAGCCTGGGCCAACTAAAGAACAATGACAACTGCAACAAAAAAATAGCTGGGGCTCGGTGCCTGTGGCTCAAGTGGCTAAGGCGCCAGCCATGTACACCCAAGGTGGCGGGTTAGAATCCAGCCCGGGCCCGCCAAACAACAATGATGGCTGCAACCAAAAAATAGCTGGGCGTTGTGGCGGGCACCTGTGGTCCCAGCTACTTGGGAGGCAGAGGCAGAAGACTCGCTTGAGCCCTGGAGTTGGAGGTTGCTGTGAGCTGTGACACTATAGTACTCTACTGAGGGTAACATGGTGAGACTCTGTCTCAAAAAAAAAAAAAAAGAATAAAGATTTTATTTCTTTCATTTATTTATTTTTTGAGACAGAGTCTTTATTTTGTTGCCCTGCATAGACTGCCATGGTGTCATAGCTCATAGCAACCTCCAGCTCTCGGGCTCAAGTGATCCTTTTGCCTCACCCTCCCAAGTAACTGGGACTACAGGTACCTGTCACAGTGCTGGCTATGTTTTTATTTGAGACAGGATCTCACTCTTGTTCTGGCTGGTCTCAAACTCCTGAGCTCAGGCAATCCACCTACCTTGGAGTGCTAGGATTACAGGTATGAGCCACCACACCCAGCTCAAATAAAGATTTTAGAGCTATTAAATATGGAAATTTATAATAGAGAAAGACAGGTAGAAAGCAGATTAGACACACACAACTGATAAGAGAATTGGTAAAAATATCCAGAATAAAGCAAGGAGAGATAACAAGATAGGAAATACAAAAAAGAAAGACAAGGGGATGGCACCCTGTGGCTCAGTGAGTAGGGTGCCAGTCCCATATACCAAAGGTGGTAGATTCGAACCTGGCCTCGGCCAAACTGCAACAAAAAAAATGGCTGGGCATTGTGGCGGGTGCCTGTAGTCCCAGCTACTCGGGAGGCTGAGGCAAGAGAATCGCCTAAGCTCAAGAGCTGGAGGTTATTTGAGCTGTGATGCCACAGCACTCTACTGAGGGTGACAAAGTGAGACTCTGTCTCTAAAAAAAAAAATGAAAGAAAGAAAAGAAAAGAAAGAAAAGAGATGCAAAGAATAAAAGGTCTGGGCTACATTTAATGAAATGTGGGAGAGGAGAAAGAAGGGAAACAGAGGCATTTAGACAGTATTTAAAATGATAATGACTTAGAATTTCCCAGAACTAATAAAGGATATTATGATTTAGTGAACTGAAATTTAAACAGAGTAGTTAAAATAAATTGAACTGGGAACACATTAATGTAAAACATACTGGAAATAAAATCAAAGATAAAATATTAAAAGCTAGTATTTAATTTAAAAAATAAACAGACGTTGGTACATCAGTAAGATGGATAAAGGACTTGTCAAGAGGT